TCACTTATACTACACAGTGACTGAGTTTTTAAAAGTATAGAATATGCACTAAACAAATGGCATTAGGGAATGGCATCCCATAATCAACATGTCATCACGTTGAAGAACCTTTCCTCTATAGTCATCTGCCATAGCTCAAAGGGTACGGGGACATGTTATAATCATTATAGATACTAAGGCTGTTCTTGCTTCAAAAATGATTTGGAAGAAGTGCTTCAGCAGTTCTCTGCTACTAATTAAAGCAGCCACATCTTTTTTCAGACTTCTGCATGAAAATATACTATTGCTTTAAGGAAGCAACTCATACAGAAGTCTGAATAAAGATATGTCTGCTTTAGTGAAAAACACAGAGGTACATATGGTCTAAAACTCTTCCAAGTAATTTTTGAAGCAAGCAAGCCTTATAGGTACTGTATGTCCAGTCCCCCTCCCACATTTTAAGCTGACTAATCACTATTTTGTAATGTGTACATAACAGGGAGTTACACTCATACAGGCATTCCACATGCAACATTTTGCCTTAACCTATTTAGAAGGGGCTTAGATGAAAGAATAGGTCACTTTCAAAAAAAGATAGCTGAATCCCTCTCAAAGCCATTAGCAGGCCATTGTACAGGTCTAAAAGGAGGTAAATTGGTGGATGTATATGAAGCTTTATTAGCCTCATCTCCACATGTCTGTTTGCTTGAATAGGTTTCAATAAACTGAAAAGTAAGATCTTGATTATAGAGCTTAAGCGTACAGTCCCATCTTCACATACCTGGTATTATGATTTATTGGAATCACTGGAACTTACTTCTGTATAGAAATGTATCTCATTTATTGGGTTCTTCCTGCTCTACCTCTACATATGCATAACAGTAAATGCTTGTTTTTAGAAGATGTTAAATTTTTTTAAAGAAAAAGTTAATTGTGAAACCATGTATTTTCCACTGGTCATTCTAAATCATGATATTTAGGGAGATCATATGGAACATTTCTTATTCCTATGGTAGTTAGGACACAGACAGGACATTAGCAGATGAACGTTTGACTTATTTAGTATTAGTGATACTGCCATTGTTAATTCGGCCACTCTTCAAATTAGTTATATGTAACAAAGAACTGCAGAAGCTATAATCCTTGCAGAATTGGAATTTGATTTACAAGGTTAACAATCAGGCTGACAATTGAAATCAAACTGCACATTAGTTTCTCCACATTCTGGGCAAGTGGGTCAATTCTTCCGATTGGTTATCCCAAGAGGGAAGTAAAGGATAGTGGAGGAAGAACATATTGTGACATAGTACACCTGTGCTAGCTATTGGATCAATAGCCTCTATCAGCAGGACTCTACTTAATGAAGCTTGAACTGGTGTCATAAGTCTGCTAACAGCTGTAAGTTAACACCAATTCCAATAGAAACAGCCATTGAATCCAAATAATTGCTTCATTTTTTTTCCTACCAAAGAGATTTATGAAGATATTGTACAATGTGCATAAGACAACTGGGCTTCAAACTCTCAGAAGTTTAGGGAGAAACTCTCAGGTCATCTGAAGGACAGCAAAATAGAGTGCAAAGACAAGAATTGATGTAGCTGGCTATTTTACTTTCCATACGGATAGCCAACAATTTTATAGTTATGCTGAATTTATGAACCATAAATATGGCTCATTTATACTCAATTTAAGACTCTCTTTCATATGAAGTTGGAAGATGGCTGTCTGTGGGAACAGCCGTGTGTGTGTGTGATAGTTGTTATCTAGAAGTCACTGGAATAATGTCTAGGTCATTCTGTAGAAATAATGATGCTTGGAAGACCCAAAGTCAATTCTGCTGTTAGCACTGCAAGAAAAATGAAATTAAAAAATCTCACACACAAACATCCCCATTTCAAGCTTCAGTGGAATTGTAGATACATTCCTCTCTGATTTCTGCATGATACATGACAAAATTGGGAATATGAGACTTAACAGAATTTGTTTCAGTTCATAGTTTAAGCTACTTGTTGGAAATTTCTGAATATTCTAATATTTATCTGATTATGGGTTAAAAACATCAAATCTTCTTAACAAGGATTTGAGATCTCTACTGCTGTTTGCTTTTAAATAACTATTTCTAACAGAATTATCACTGACTAAAGTAATCTTAACCCAATGTTCATACTATAAGAAAATGTAATACTGTATGCTTATTTGCAAAATGGTGGAGAGTCAGAAAATGGATGTAAGTGCAACAGCTGAGCTTGAACTACAGTAAACTGTATATTACAAAAGTAGCATGATTCTGCTGCTTTTGGCACAACTCTGTCTCCTAATAATTGGATGTGATGAAATATCTTCATAAAGTCTATTGGAAGTAATTTGGAAAGGCCATCAATAGAATCTACCCAGACTAAACCAAAGGAATTAATTATAAAATGTATAATTCATACAAATGTATAATGGAAATAATCTGTGTAATAAAGTCCCTATTTAAAATTTGTAACTATCACCAGTCTTTATTATTTTTCCTTGCTCTGATCTTACTGGTTCTTGTTACATAACTCTAAACTTAACTTGGCCTCCTTTCTATTTATTTATTTATTAAATCAATTTATATAGCCGCCCATCCCCCCACAGGCGACTCTGGGTGGCATACAACAAAGCTAAAAACAATAAATAAATACATTAAAAATATATAAAGCAAAATAAAACCAAGAGAATAAAAAGATGCTAAAAATAAGGGAACTGCCTCACTAATTCCCCTGTCCCCTGGGATCCCCAGGCCTGCTGGCATGACCAAGTCTTAAGGGACCTCTGGAAGTTCAACAATGACAAGGCCAGTCTCACCCCAGGGGAGAGAAGATTCCACAGTGCTGGCGCCACAGCAGAAAAGGCCCACCACCTGGGGCCTACCAAATGTATCTCCCTAGGCAATGGAACCTGTAACATGCCCTCTCTGCTGGATCTGGTAGGACAGGCAGATGAAAGTTGTCTTCTTTCTAATTTAATTAACTTCCCAACTTCTCATAAAATAGAAGGCCCTGAATCATCCTGCTCGACAATCTCTTTCCATTAAAAAAAAATTGTAAGAGAATAAGCTGGATCAGAATAACCGGAAGCAGGGTAGAAAAGGCCTTATCCCTTCTCTCAGACCCAACAGTCCATTCAATATTTTTTTTTTCTTTTTAAAAAACCCTCAGGTGGTGAATACTTATACAAAGTTATTGGGGAGGAAGGGTTAAGCATCATCCCATGCAGAGACAGGAATAGGGGGATTCCACACCACAGTGCATGTAGAAATATGCCCATCTTTAAAAATAGTAGTGGAACAGAGCAAACCGCCAGTTGAAAATAAAGATGGTTGCTAGTGTGTATGAGCAAAATTTGCAGGTTGTAAAACTGTTAAGGTAACCATGCTGTTCTTCCGAAGTCATGTTGATAAAGCAATAGGAAGATATTTTTATCAGTATGTACATTATTTTTCTTAGCCAAAACCACTGTGCAGCCAAGGACATCCTCACTGAACCTCTTTCAGATTCCAGAATACTGGAAGGGGTGTTTCCCTGCTTCATCCTTTGAAACTAATTTTCTTGGATTCCTACACAGCAGCCGATTTAAATAATTGCATAAAGCTATTGTATAAAGTTGCATAAGGGAAGTACCTGAACATCTTCAAAACCACCAATTAAACAGGGAAACAGTTAGGAGACTGATTATGTACAGGTTTACCCAGCAAATGCAACAAGCAGAGTTTTCATTTACTTCCTTTGGAGAAGCTCGTCTAATTGAGCATTGAACCTTTCTCACTCACAGACACATAGAATGTTAACTATATTATAAATGTTATATATCCACACTTTAATTTAGGAGTGACCATCCCCTCAGTCTGATTTCATCTAGTTGTCCCCAAATAATATCCACTTTATACTAAAAACGATAACGTGAGTTTATTATGGTTTTCTGTTAGTATATTTCCCAAAGGTATAAAAATAGTAACTGCTAGGAGACAGAAAGGTTGGAGCTTCAAATTTATGCAGCGCAGGCCGGTTTTATGTTGTTATTCTAATTCCATCATGGACCAGCATTTGGCAAATGCATATTAGGAAAATTAGTGAACTTCCCTTTCCTGCAGAACTAGATAGAGCTATTTATGGCCCATGGCAATTCAGCAACTGGAAATTTAGCCGTTAAGCTGTATTTTTAAGTGCCTTTTTTCTAAAGCCAATTCATTTTAGTTGAAATTCCATAGGGATTTTTTTTTCAAAAACACTTTATTGACCTAATTTTAAAAGTCAACCGGATACCAAACGGGACTGAAAGCAGAGGCTAGAATAACCATCTTGCCCATATTCTGGAAATTATGCATTTACAAACTGCTATTGGTGCTTCCGGTAATTTCAACCTACTCCATCTTGTTTGACCTTGCATTGTAAGTTTTCCCTCACCCCACCTCTGGCTCAGATGGAAACCAATGTGGGTTCAGTCGTATCCATGAAGGCATCTCTGTTGAAGTCATTAGCATGGAGCATGTGCAAAAAAAAAAAAGATGTATCTGGAATGTTTCTAATGGGGCAAGAAGCCAATAGTCATTTATAAATAACGTGACTGTGTAACCAGTTAGCAATATTTTGATGTAGTTTATGAACTACAATGCTGAAGGATTATTTTACAGCACATATAGGCCACCCATGTAAACATTACCCCACAGAGTAGGATAATGTGTAGAAGATAACGTGTGAATGACAACATACATGCATATGACATATGACACAGCCTTTTGCTTCCCTTTTCTACTGTATGTATTTTTCAGTACACAGGACCACATGCAAAATTATTTTCTTGTACTAGAGGAAAACAGCATTATATTCAGCAACTGTTAAGATTATCAAAACAGAAATTATATGTGCAAGGGGTTGGTCTTCATTAAGGCCAACCTATTTTCTAAAAACTGCAAATAAAAATGCTTAATTTTCACATCATCATCACATCAACACAGGCATTCTAATAAATACAATTTGACAGAAAATAAATCTAGGTGAGTTTATTTTACCATATATTTAATCTATGTATTCTTTATATTAAGATATTGTACAACATAGAACTCCAAACATTGAGTACAATTCTTGTGCAAGAGTAGATTTAGAAAGCAAACACAACACACAAATATTCATAAAGCCACAAATATTACAATACTCTGGATATAAAACTGAGACAAATTATGCATATTTTGTTTTGATTTTGTTTAGTATAGAATACATTCATTTCAAAGAAGCAATTTTATGCAGTTTGGCTAAAATAAATACAGCAAATGTATTAACAGTATCTATCCATACATGGAATCTAAAAATATATGTATTTTCTTATAGTGCAGAAGAAACATTAAGGCATTTGTTACCTAGCAATTGCTAAGTATGTAAAAGAGCTTAGCCTGGACAGAGTTGGACTACCCTATTTCCACCGTAAAAATCCAGACTACTAGACAGCAGCAGAACAATACAGAAAAATGCTCATGGCTGCCATCTGGTAATTGTCCAGATATTTGCAGCCCAGATGCAGTAACCCAATGATGGAGAAGTTGAGTAAGTTGTTCTCTAGGTTCTTGGTATGGAGTCCTGTTGGTGTTTGATCAGAACTGAGTGAGAATGAAGGCCCAGGAGCAGAAATGCCACAGCTGCCACCCTCCTACCTTATGCTATCAGGAACGTGGCTTTTTTTTGGTTCTTATTCAAGTTACCACTCTCCATTACTTGGGTGAGATCAAACAGATGATTGCCATTCCACACACAAATGCATATCTCCCCCCCATCAAGATATTATTAAGAAATCTATTTTATATTCCAAAGCATCATTAATAGTTCAAGGAGATAAAGTTTAATGGCTCCTACACTGCTCTAGCACTGTTTGATGGGCCCTTCTCTTAGCAAGGCATTGAACATGATCCAATGATGGTACTGGAAGCTCCTACATTGACAGTCTTGAATATGTAATTCATCTATTGAGGCTTCCCTAGCCTAGGAAGCTTCCCCTCCCCAGATTCCTCAACCAATATCGCCACTGGGATAATGGGAGTTGTATCCAACACATTTGGAAATAGCTCTTCTCATTATACCAGAGTGTTCTGGATAGAGCTAGTGCCCTATGAATATGACCTTCGCTATTTATTGGAATGCATGAATGGGATTTCTGTATCCCTGCACGGTGACTTGATTCCTGAGAAAAGGAGGGTACTAAGAAGGAGAAAGGATTATCTTGATCTTTGTGGTATACCAAATAGTTTTGCCAGTACTGTAGTGGGATCAGGGGCAAGCTTGCTCTTCTTAATAAGGCTTAAACTTATCCACTACTTCTGATGCTAACAGCAGATCTATGAAACCTGTAACTTTTTTTGTACTTAGACAATTAATTTCAATACTCATTCAACATATCTTTATTAAAAATATCAGGCAGATTCTTACAAATATGTCTTTGGTTTACATTGGAATTAACTTCATAATTATTCCCAACATTTATTTTTAGAAACAACTTTCCCAAAGCATTTTGTGTAAGGTAGTCACACACACACACACACACACACACTACAATGAATGCCATGTATTGGGAGTAAATTCAGTAAATTTCTTTTCAAATAAGCATGCCAGAAGGCCACATGAAAATTATGCTACTTTGTTAAATGCTACAGCTTCTTCCCTTCAATGGGGAGAGAGAAAATATAGACTTAAAGAATTCTGAAGTATTTTTGCATAGTAAAATGTGAATGTGGAGGTGGGAACAAGGGATTGGGATATTATTTTATTTAGTTTTTTAGAAAATATTGTTAGCCTCATCCCTAGCCAAAAAAAAATATGTAAAGAATCTTACAGACATTAACATTTTTCATTTTCCTTTGAATTTTCCTGTGAAGTCAGACATGCGCTAAGGGAGAAGATATAATTTCAAGCTGCTCCCTCATGGCTTATATGACTAGATACTGTAGTAAAGTTTTAATTATACTCCAAAAATTACTGGACATAGAACTTAAGTCACATTAACATAAGCTGATGCAACAAAACACATCTGTTTCGTATCTGTCCAATTAGTGACCACGATGCCTAGTTATTCTCACCAATCATGTATAAAAAATCTTGATACAAAAATCAGTTTTCCATCTAGGGTAGAACAGCAGGAGCAGAGGGATGGACAATGCTGCTAAGCCTTTGAGAGACCACTGGGTATGTATCTTATGTTTTATTTAGATCCTTGCAAGATAGACAGATCAGGGCTGGCTGTAGTCATGAAACTACACATCATTTTATGGTTATGAATGTGACTGAAATAAAAGTTGAATTGGTACTAATCTGTTGAGATTAATATTCACAAAGAAATATCGCAAGGCTTCCTTTTTCTTCATTACCACTTTCTTATAATATTATACACATCAACTCCGTATGTTTCTCTAATTTCAAAATGTCTGCAGCATGCTAGCTGTAGTTTATGAGAATTATAGCACAACATCTGGGGGATACTATGTTAGGGAAGGCTCCTTTATGATCTTCAAAATGTTAAACAATCAGACCTTTATCTGCACAAGCACTCGCAGTTATAAATTAATATTCTTCCCTTTCATAATGACATGCCATTTATTGTTTTATTGATCAATTTCATTTTAGGACATTCTAAAGGCTAACACAAACTTCACCAATTCAAAACTGTTTTTTTAAAGTTCAAGCCAACTATTTCCAGAAAATAATGTTTCCTAATAAAGTGAGATGCAAAACATTACTGTCTTTTAAATTAATAAAGGATTTTCAGAGCAGATGCCTTCACTGTAATAAATAAATCATATCAAATCCTGCCTAGGAGTGGATTATCTATTGCCATGAGTCTTAACCCTACTCAGCCATAATATACCCCTATCATTAGGTTCCAATGACATAAACACACACACACAATGGCCTCCATTCAGCATTAGAAGTCACAACATATGGAGACATTATTATATGCAGGCCATTTGAAGGATCCTCCAAATGACAGCCATTTAAGTCTCCCTTATATTTTAAATATCTTGGGGTCATTTACCCACCTGTAACAACTTCTGTGACTTGTAACATCTTCTATAGTCATCAAAACAACAGAGTGCCAAAATAGTAGGAATGAGGGCAGGTTTTGTATCACTTTAACAATGGCTGGGTGTTGTTATGAAGAAACTACATTTCACAACTTGGAGAGTGGCCTTGGTTCATCCAATGTGTTTGAGTTGTAGAAAGTACTGTTTTTCAAAGCAAATTTCTTTTAAACCCAATCTCTTAGATTCTTGGAGTCATCTATGCCAACACAATTAACATACACAACTATTCAGTCCAAAGTTAAGCACTCTGTTAGTGCACTAATTTTATGTATTTAGCAATCTAAACATGAAAAACTAATTTATAACTGTATAAGTAGCTTAGTAGCTACAGATTTGGAGAGTGATCCCACCTAGCAACAAGAGCCTTAGGGCAGCAGAACACGCTGACTTGGGAAGTCGTTAAGTGCTCCTTTCTGAAAGGCATTTAAGCCATCTGTCTGGGACAGAGCAGAGGCAACCAGGGAACTGGACCAAGTGATGCTCAAGGTCCCTTCCAACCTTGTGATTGATTCTGACTCCTAGACATTGTGCAAATTCTCTCAATTGTTGAAATCAAGGTTAGGGATTGGGGTTACAATACTGCACAGGACTAGATAACAAAGAGTTTGACAGGATTTCTTCTCCTTTATTCCCCCCAGTGTTGAACAATCTGCCAAAAAACAGAAAAAGAAAAACCCACTTTTCACATTCAAAAACTGCATTAAAACTCAGTGGCAAATAAATATACATTTTCTTGACAAGCAAAACTATAACAATTATTTTTAAAAAATTCTATTAATAGCCTGGGTGAGGGATATAAAGAAAACCAACAATATATTTACTAATGAATAATAAATTCAGTAATTATGCTGATTCATCATATCCATATCCATATCCATATCCATAAGTTATTACAAAAGTCAAGGAACAGATTTTAAAGTTTTGCTTGTAGGAATTAAACAGTTATGTTTATATGCAAACCTGTAACTCAGGTATGTTGGACAAAAAATTAAACTATATAAAAATGTTTGACCTTTATTCAATAATTACATAATATATAAATGAAATATGCTTACCCTAAGTTGTAAGCATAATTTACTTACGTTTAAAACCATTTCATACTTTAAATCTTAAAAATATCTTTTACTTTTAAGTTCTGTAAGAAAAGTGTGAACACATTCTTGGCACATAAGTAAATTTAAAGCAATAGACAAAAGTAAGAAAAATGGGGAGAAAGCCCATCAGTGCTTGAACTTTCCCAACTTGTTTTTGCTCTTCCTATGGGGCAAGTCTTTTAGCTGGTAGCTGTGCGGGCGTGCATGCGTTTTGCTACATCATAAACATAGGTTATATCTGGTCGTTTCTCTGGATCTGGGTTGATGCAGATATTAACTAATTGTCGGAGCTAGAAAAAAGAAAAAAAACAGCATATGAAGAACAAGGAATTAAATTGAAAAGAAAAATGCACCTGCAGACAAAATTATGAGAATCCTTTTCTACTGCAAGTTCTACTGCAAGTTCTAAATGCTGGAAAAGTAAAATAGCACAGCAGTAACTGTTAAAGATGTGCTTTCTTATAAGTACAATATTCTTTAAACACTACATTTCCTTATTATATAATTCTTTACATACTTTTAGTCACAGTACTATCAACAATAGTTTTGCAGGACTCCAGACTGTATTTAATGGGACAAATCTCCTATGACATCTGAGTGCAAGATTCATACAATGGCCATACTGGACTGAAGGGTACCTAATGATGATTCCATAATGGATTTTTACTAACCTTAAATTTGCTTAACACTATCATGGAAACATAAACTGAATTCTTTTTTCAGTGCCTCTGCGGAGAACTGTACACTAACTGGGTAATACCTGCATAGGATGGAAATATTCTCATGGTTTCAAGACTTGCTAAGCAGAAAGGGCAGATATGTGATTTAGGTGAACGTCATAAAATAAATACTTTAGGTTACAAATCTATTATACCTAACACTCCTGAAGTCAACACAAACACTGTTAACTATTTGGTCTAATATGTGTTGATAATATCTAGTTTTGAGTTTTATTTTAGATATGTAAAAATGGTACAAAATATTTCCACAAAATGAATCCTTTTTTCCCTCTTTTCTGTTTTCAATATAATAAAGCAATAAGGAAAGTATGCAACTCATGATTAAAATACATGTTCAAAAAATAAATAACTTTAAAAAGACAAACTATACAGAGACAGTAGCATTTATTCATTTCATTGTTCATCTGCTAGGATTTGCAAGCCACTTCAGCCCTAGACCATGGTAGGCTTACAAAATAATAAAATACAATAGAATGATCAAATTTTAATATAATAATAAAACACAGTTTCCCTCAGCAACATCAATAAATCTCCAGACAATACAGGAGCATTTTAATAGTACTCTTGAATATCAATAGAAGACAGTGATCCTAACTTTGGCAGTAGACCATTTCAGAGTGAGGAGGCCATTAGCAGAGAAGGCTCACTTCTGGCACCCACTTTGTATCTCCTAGAGAGTAAACACAAGGCCAGCAGTATACCATCCCAGTCCACACTTGGAGCAGACAGTCCCGGATATACCTATGACCCAAGACTTGTACAGCTTTATAGATGATGATGATAATTTGATATGCTGCCCAATTCTTTTGACTCGTGCCTGGAAGCAAACTGCAACCAATGTATTTCCAGCATCAAAGATGTTATCCAAACTCAAAGGCTCTCACCCATAAACACACAGACAGTTGCACTGTGCAGCTGTAGCTTCTGAGTGGCTTTCAAGTACAACCCCACATAGATTGAATTACAGTAGTTCAACCATGAAAGTGACAAGGGTGTGAACAACTGTTGCCAGTGCATCAAGAACAAACATGCATACCACAACACCATTTCTATTAAATTGGTCCACAAAGTTCTTAGCAGTAACTCTTCAAGCACTGAGAAGTTGGGAACTGACTTCTGTAAGTCTAGCAAGACTGACAAAAATCTCTGCTTTTCAGTTAGTTCTCAAAGCCAAGCAAGGAAAGGAGTCAACTTATTGCTTAGGTTGTTACAGAATAATGTGAGTTCCTCAATTGGTTGAGCTAGCTCCAGAAAGCTAGTAATGTTTTCTGAATTTCCATAGGACTTTGCTTAAAGAAACAGGATATACACTATGGACCTCCTCAAGCAGCCATATGAAAAAGTGTGTGAATGTGTGCAAGAGAGAAAAGGCAAAATAATTATTTAATCTACAAGTTATTAAATATTCACTAATGAAAATACTGTATGTCAGCAACCTCTCCTGTAATCAAACTTTCAGCTAAAGTTGAAGGGAATGAGTATGTATACAGACACACATCTCTTAATCCTATATTCTGATCAAGATGTTATCTATGCTGATTAACTGGCACGGAAGAAAGAAAATAGATATAATCTAATGTTTGTTCCTGTTCTGAATATCAACCCTGGGTTTGAAAATGAAACAAAAGGCTGAACTATTTCTTTAAAATTGGAGTAGAATTTGGGTAGATGTCATGCATTTTCACAGTTGTGATTGGGAAGAATGGCCTGTAGATTTGATTTAAATCTAAGTATTGTTTCTGAAAACCTTGTCAGGATACAAGCATTCCCACTGTACTCCCTGAATGCCCGCATCATCCTCTCTTATTCCATGTGCTTTTTAAATAGTTTTTATAGTTTTAATAATGACTGTTTTATATATATTTATTGGTTTTCTTTTTAATTGAGCATTGTACACCACACATTTTGCGAGATGGGCAGCTACACAAATATGATCAATAAATAAGAAGGCATATGGAAAGACCATGACTTCTTGTCCAATAGTCCAGTAGCGTGATGAGCAAACCAAACTGGTCTAAGAAACTGCCAAGAAGCTATTCTATTAACATGGAGCAAATGGCATCATTCATATCTGGCAGACCTCAGAAACAGTAATGTGAATTGGGCTGAACTGGAGAAGTCAGGATGGCCGATTATTTCCCTTAACCTTTTCTGTGAACTTTGTTCAGTGACAGTATTTTGCCTGAAGCTTAGCCTGGCAGTGGGACAAATTTCTTTTTTTACTTTAACAGGTTTGTCAGTCTCCAAGAGAGTGAGTGGGGGACAGAAAGTGAGAAAAAGGGACTAAAGTACCCCAGCCATGACACCAGCAAACAGGATTTGGAAACTCTTATGCAGGTGAAACACTCTAGTTAAAGTAAAAAGAATGCATGTGTGCTCATTATGGTGAGGGCATACTCAACTTATTACTCACTATAAATAGTGATTAAAATGAAAAGAAAGGGTTTAGTAGCAGCACTGTCAAGTGACCAATGTGGGAAAACCGTGGAATCCCACATATACTGGGAAGGTTGACAGGAGCCTCCCAGAAAGGGCTGTGTGGTAGACAGTGCAGAATGTCAGTTCGGTGCACAGAAGCAGTACAAACGATAAATTCCATATGATTAAGTATATTTAAGTTCTATTGTTTTCCTTTCCTGAATTTTAAAATTTTAATAAAAATCCTAAGGTTATATATTTTTTACTTTTCCAAAAAAACTCAAATCAAACTCTTTTAATCCCCCTAAGGCTGCACTGCCCTCTTTTTCCTTAGTTGTTGGATTTGTTTGAAACCTTTAGTGAGTACTATTAGGAACTGTAGTAAGGTTTCTGGTCTGACACATGCAGGAAAGAAGGGTAAATTTGCTGGTGATACGTTGGTTTAACTGATAAGCCTGAATCTCCCACTGATGGTTTTGGACTCTTTTCTAGATATAATAGAAATTAGCCCGATTCTGAATCGATGCCTTTGACAGCTATTGTTTTATCAAAATCAGCTTTTTTGCTATGGTTTCAATGGCAGCCAGAGGCAATATGTAAGTCCTTAGAAATATATCTCAAATGATATAAACTATATTTAAAAATACTATCATTAGATTTGGACAGATTTACATAAAGGAGTCTTACTAAAATGGAGTAACTGAAGTGAAATCACACTTCTAAAGTGAATGTTTTGCCACAGCCATTTTATATAATCCTTGCCTTGCCTTTATATTAGATGTATTTTAAGAAATTTAATGCACTGTTTTGGAGATTTATGTTAGAAAATTTCTCTCTCATTTCTTACTGTATATGAAGAAGTATTTTACCTCCAGGACCTCTATTCCAAAGACTACTTAGAAATATGGACTGCATATACTAATTTATGAGAGCCAAGAAAACTGCAGAGACTAGTCCAGGCAGTCACCAGGAGTCAAAAACTGACTCAAAGGTACCCCTCCACACACATTTATATCTTTAATTTTTCTTATTGTTAAACATTGATTTAAATGTTAATAATTTAATTGTATAACATTACAAGAATACATATCTAAGACTAGTTTTGTTTAGTAAGGAGATGTATCTTTCTTGTGGTCTCAATTTTCCCTTTCTGTTTGAATATAATAAAGAAAAAAGAGAAAGGAATTGTAAATAAAACTGCTGATATCATATAAAAATCTATTTGTGAACTGTATTTAAATACTGTATACACCTGCAGTCAAAATATAAAAATGTTCTCAGAGGAAATGAAGTTTTTGCCTACTTGATCAATGCAACAGGATGGAATGGTAGTAAGCGTTAAATAACAGGGGAAACCTTATTGTAGGTCATTTCACATTAAGTATATTCCATTCTGATTCATATTTCATAAGGTATAATATTTTGCTTTGAAAATCGAGCTCTGTAATTCATACAGCCAATGCTGAAGAGGGAAACTCCATGCTAAAAAGGCATTGAAAATAAAAGGGATTGAAAATAAAGTTTATAGACTTCCACTTAACAATGTAAGAGATATAATATGCAGTTTTGATTGCCATATCTTAAAACAGACTGTTTGGTGTTGGAAAAGATACCAAAAAGGGCAATACTCCAGAAATTATTTCACCATTCTTTATCTTTTTGTAGAGGGAATGCTTATTATTTGTCTTACATAATACTGTAATACTTAACCAATGAATCTCAATTGTGGGAAAGCTGGAACAAAGAAAGCACAGATCAAAATTTTCAGCCTATTTGCAACTGAGCATTTGCAAGAAGGCCAATCTTTAGTCATTACAAATAAAGGTACATACAATTGGAAGAAACTGAAATGTTTCTTTTCTGTGAACTTCCTCTCTTTGATGATATATGTGTGGTATGGACCATTTCCTAAAAGGGTCCCCAATATCAAGTTAGCACTCATGTGCTTCTCTTTCTCTCTCCCCCTTTCATATACACACATGTATTCCTTGATCTGTCCCCGACTTGCTAGATATTTAAATAATTCTAGGTTTCACCTATGCCCCATAAACATGGATAGAAATAAAAATGATGGACAGTTACAATTCATGTTTTGATTGGATTTGTTCTGTATGTACAGAAAAAGGACAATCTAGAGACTAGCTAGAAGAAAGACCAAGAGCAAGCAACCTATATGGTAACAGCCTAAGAACAACATAAAGGAAAACACAAACTTTTGGGGAAGCAAACTTACTATCATCTTTTTTCTTCTCTATCATCATTAATGGAAAAATAAAAAAGGGCTCCAAAGACAAGGCTGTCAGAGTTCTCTGCTAGTGAAATTCTCATTAATGAGTTGACCTTGAGATCTAGCACATATCCCTATACTAGTTTTTGGATGGTATCTATTGATTTGCAGTCAAAGCCAGCCTTAAATGCAGTCAGTGCGCTCACTAGAATTACAGAAAGACAAAGGGTATATATAAAATTACTGCCCAGAACACGGATTTGTAAAACACTGGTTTGTTAATTTCCATCCTCCAATCAGATAGTTTTTTAACAACAAAAAGTGAAAAACAACATGCAGTCTTTGAAACCTACACAGTTATTAGGTAGTTTCAGTATACTGAAAAGACCTCCCTTTTCATCAACTGGGAGCACTCCAACTGTTCAGACATTTAAAGAAACATGAAAATTAAATGCAGCTGTCAGCATAAGGCGTCTAAGGAAGCAATGGAACTGTTCACAGAAAGAGCTTCAGATAAGGAAAGAAGTAATATTATCCCATCATACTGTGTTGGCATGTGAAAATGAGGGTGTGAACAGGAGTATACATGAGGATAAGAAACAAAAATGGACACTAATGGTTTTATCAATCTAGATCCTCACTTAGGAAGTATAAATTGGTTTAAATGCTGAAAACTAACCTATACCTTGGTTCAAATGCTGAAAACTATCAAATGGAATAAATCTGTACTGCAATGGAAGTACATTAAAACAGATTTTGTGTTAAATTTTTTCTTTTCTTTATCTAAAAGCCTTGTGTCAAAGTAGGCAGAGGTTGATGCAAAATAATTTATAGCATCACCAAACACATATTTGTGTGTGTGTGTTTCTTTGTTCTGTGATCCCTCAATTCTGTTGCTCAACTGGGTGAACTTTTCAGTCTAGAGAAAAGTTTATAGTCTAAATTTTCTAGAAGTCTTTTGGATGTTGTGGGAGTGTAATACAATACACTTCAGCTTATGACTCCTTCTGTAATACAGAGCCTGTGCAAAACATAGAACACTAAAATGTACAGTTAACGAAGATCATAACTATACTCCATTTTTTAAAGTTTTGTTCTAAGTAAAATTTTGGAACAATGAACTGTTCAGAGTAACAGTACACCCTCTATTACTGAACCTTTCACTTTGTGAGGAAATTACTTCCATACCTATAATAGATCAGAGTTTTCATTCTTCCAAATGTTATTGTATAGAAAAAGGATTTTTAAAACAAAGGCTGTGAAAAGAAAGTCCTTGTTTCTGAATGAGGGGAAAATGGAGTATTATTTGTTTTACAATACCCCATCTCCAATCTGTATAATAATAATAATAATAATTATTATTATTATTATTATTATTGTTATTGTTATTATTATTATTTTCCTTTCTGAATAGCAAGGCTTCCATCAGGCCTGAACTTTGATATCTGCCCCTTGGCTGAGAATCTATATATCCAACTTCACACTTAGCTGCAGTGAAGTAGCCCTCCAGGCAGGCCGACTTCAACGAACCACTAGTGGTATCATCATTAAAATCCTGCTGAAGGTCACCATGGCAACCGCCTGCTGAGGCTTCACTGCTGCACGCGGCATCTCCTAATCAGCTACCATGTGAAATGCAAATTCAGACAGTCTGAAAATTAGTCAAGAAGAATAGAGGATGAGGATGCAGGTACGTGAAATATTCATGCGCTTCATGGAAAAAGGAAGACAGCATGAATGACACAACAAAGAACGGCCCCTGACATTCTTGCTATCATTTTGCATTATTGTTCACACCCTACTGTATTTCTAGGCCTCCGGTTCTGAAATTGCCTATATGAAGTGCCATATTTATATTCTGCACAATTGTCATAATTAAAAATGGCCACTGAAAAAACAGTTAATTGGAAAAGCTACATTAAGTATATGCTGCACACACCAACAGAGACCATCACATTCGCTTCATCATCTTCCTAATCATCTTTAAAAACATACACACAGAATTTCACAGTCTCCATGTAATAAAACTGCAAGTATCATGCAAGGATTTTTAAAGAGACCCAAACTTCATGGACTGCAGTCTTTAATTAATAACTAAAATCTTGAAAGGCAATGAGATTCAGGGTTCGGAGTTACGTTATTCCCCAACTCTGTAAACGCTGTAAAGTTTTACTGTTTACAAAATATGAGGATTTTATATGCATTTCTACGTAAAGTTTAATTTACTTGTTCTATTATTTTACTTTGTCCTAAATTTCAAAAAATAGTTCCATACACGATACTAGAATTACACAAACACACAGTCATCTATGTATTAAAGACACAGAGACATAAACATGTCCATCTCATACCAACTTAGATCACTTAACAGAAATACTGTCTTTCTTTATTGTTCTCTCTGTGTGTGTGTGTGTGTGTGTGTAAAATGCTCAGTATCTAAATCAAAATGAATAAACAGCATCATAAGTATGCCACGATGTGGATAGAGTAGATTCTTATCCTATGACTTTGGAGGCTAGACTCTTCCTCACAAAAGCACAGCATGCTGCTGGACAAGAATCCTTGTAAATAATAGAAGCACATTTTTTCCTGTCTCCTCTGCAGTTACATATGGATATACAAACATGTACTGCTTTGATTGTCCAAGAAAGGGAGAGCATTTCCATTCTCTGTTAGCTTTGTCCAAAGAGCCAAAATTGCTAGAGAGGGAATGGAAAGCATACCATAAGTGCCCGTTTTGCTGCAGCCTGATGTGGTAGTTCCATGTACATCTTTTCAATGCACACTTAGAAAACAGAACAGTAAACAGGGTTATGGCGATTCCTCTATACGTAAGTCCATGAAGAAGTACACCATGCTGGAAAGGTGCCTTGCATCTGGAATACAATTTGTGATATAAAAATGAAGTTTCCAAGGTTTTTTTGTACATGTGCTTTTTGTGGGTTAAGGGATCACACATGCTGCAAAATTGCTATTAGGGCTACAAAGATTGCTTTGCAAAACAGCCAATGTGAGTATTTCAGTCAGTGACTTCAATTGTCTTCCCATGCCTCTGCATGCACAGCCGCATTGCTTTGTTCACTGTCCCTGTCCCACTGAGACAACCAGGGTAAGCCTTTGAAACCTCCATGCTGAGCCTTTCAGAGGACACAGTTGCTTTAACGCTTCAAGGAATTCTTGCTTGCAACAATGCATTTGATGGTGTTCATAAAGCACCCTTCTCAAATACTTTGCACAGCTCTAGTCATTACTCATGAATAGAGCATAACTGCATTTTCTTCACATCCATGTTGGCACTTAGATCATAGTAAACTGAGAGAAAGTTTCATTCTTTCACAAAGTTTTCAAAAGGGTAAATAAGAACACCACAGGATATATCATTCAGAAGACATGCCATATAGCTGAAAATCAGAAATTCATGTTGTTCACTGTGGTGTAACCAATCTAAGCAAAGAGGATTTCAGGGTTAACTGCACTCAGTTTAAGCAATTTCCCCCTTATAGCTTGAATTTTAATGCCTTGCACAGAGTTGCAACTACAAAGAAGGCACAAGCAGAAGATACAAAAAGTACTATGTACAACATTATACCAGTTATTTCAGAACTATAGCACATTTAAAGTTCACATTTGCAGCCATATTTAAACAGTAGACAATTTTTTTGAAAGAAAGTTCTGCTTGCAGGAAGAGACCATGGGAACGTCCTCTCATGCAAAGTCCTGAAATGAATGAGAGCTGTGGAAGAATATCCCAGCTGTGGGAAACTGCATGCCAGATCCCAGGAGAAATAGGATGCTGTTATAAAGTAACACAAGTTCAAACAGCCCATCAAAAGGAAGTTACTTACTTCTTCTGAGTAGTGATCTGACGGAAGGGGTGGATAGTCACACTGTTCTATCTTTTTACATAAGGAATACAAGTTCATTTTGTCACCATAGAAGGGGCTTTGCAATGCAGCCATCTGTATGGAGTGATAGAAAGGACATACGTTTGCACTGGTGTAGCCGAGAGGTCACAAATGCAGAAGCTTGGCTTTGTTTTTTAAAACATCCAGTTTAAATTTGAGGTAAATACTTGTTTCCTCTCTATCCTATTCATTTGAGTCACCTCTCTCTTAAATTTGACACTCAGAATACTGGATTAGGTTGTTTCTATAGCATTACACTTATCCCTGTTGCATAAATTAATTGAAATTTCTTCTGAACCCAGATTATTCACAAATTTATTTTGTGAAATAATATATACACA